CGTAGAGAGGGAGTTCGCGGTTTTCGTTATACTTAGCTAAACAATTACTGCGCCAAGCACGGTGTGAAATCAGTTGATCTCGGCGCTTCGCATCCATCCTCGTTTAATTGTTGCGTTGAATGCGAATCATTAACTCTCGATGCAGGCCTCAGAATCACCTTTCAGATCATTGTTATAGATTATTACGCGGTCGGGAAGGGACCGATATAATATTGCCGTATAATTCGCTGTTGACATTTCAGATCATTTACGCAGAAGTTCCGAGGAACAGAGCCACATGCGCTCTTTTTATAGTTCTTGTATCTTCAATGCTAATTAATCGTTCTCTCCGTTTTTTTCGTTCTAAGTCTTGTATAATTAATACGCTTCCACGATGCATAAAGTCGACAAAGAAGACAAAGAGAAATATCACGAATTTTTGCTGTGAAGTGGAGAAAACTGTAAGAAAAAAGAAGAATTGTTACCTCCATTCTTGCGGATTTAGCGGATGGTTGGAGAACTTAATCGAATTAATTAAATCGTGAATTTAATTAAATCGAAGATTAAACGTGAGGCGTATCCTCAAACAAAATGTGAAACCTCGCTCGGTGCTGCTCGCAAAAATCCACACAGAGATCCAAACACTAGCGAGGCAAGACTTTCTATTCCTATCTCTTTAAAAGACAGAGTAAATACGCGACTAGATTTCGGCGAGAAGAACAGAAGATCGATGTCTTTGAGCTTACGTTGTATTAATAATGACGCGTAGATAACACAACGGACACATGAATATACAATCATCATCAACACAATCATTGTATAGGCAAATTAATATCAAAATTTCAAATAACATCAAATAAGTATGATTCCGCGAAAATCATTATATTTGAAAAATTGTATTTTTCATTCTCAAGAGTAAAGTTTGTATTTTAAAGAACATTAACTAGACTTTGAATTTATCTTTTCTTATCCCTATCATTTTTGCAAGAGTAAGGGCATGTTACGTCCCTAAAAAATCGCATAATTTAACGTACTCTATAGAGTACAATGAATTTTTTTCGCAAATCTCATGATATCCATCGTATAGACTTGTCTACTGCAAATTAAATAAAAGAAGAAGTTTGTACGATCCTTTTTTTCGCGAAGTTGCAGCGTATTAAAGTCATCTGTGGCGGACATTGTTCTCCAGCTAAACGTGCTATGTCACGGACACTAGAAAGCACGCAAGCGGCGTAACTAAAATTGGCAATTGGCTAACTAAAATTTTTTGCCACAAGGCGGCGGCGCTTCCGCGATAGACATTGACAGACAAGTTTCGAAATGGAAGGAATATAACAAGTGGTCCCCCCTCCCCCGTGCGAAAAAGACAGATGCATTTGCTCTTAACTGGAATTACGTCTCCGAAGTTATGCGCCGGTTGGTTGATTCACTACTTATAGAACGAGCTCTTGAGCGGAAGGTTCTCTCTGTTTTAGAGAACAATCTCATTGTTTTCACGAAAGATCCCCTATCGCTAGACAACTAACCATCTTCAAGGTGCCTCTTGATGAACGGGGCTCGGTTTGTATTTCTGGAACCCTCGCTTTGAATTCTAAAAGGGATTCAATTTTTGAATAGGACAATACACATGCCAGAATGTGCACGAAAATCTGTCCCCTAATCTGCTACGAGAAGATGTAGGTACAGCGAACCTGCAGACTTCGTCCTTCTCGATCCCCACAGCGACGAACAATCATCGCCGGTAACAAGTCTACGAACACAGCAACACGCTGACTTCTGTCATCGCGACAAACGATGTCTTCTCCACAATAGCATATTGGAATTTCCGTCGTCGCGACCAGCAAAACTTCCTTCCTTCGCAACAGCACCTTCATCGTCCGGTCAACTACTAGCGATGTCCTCGTAGCAGCAGCTACATCGTCCGGTAATGTTTTCTGCAACGCAGCTATCTACGTCGCCACACAAAATCTTAATCCTTTATAGGGCAAGACTCCTTGGACATGACAAATGAGTTTTTTCTTTTGAACTTCATTAAAATAATCCTTAGAGATATTTTAATATTTTTAATAATTTTTTATCATTTTAAAATATTTTTAATAATTTTCGAGTCTGAAAAAAATTTCTGATAAGAGATATTAACTGGTATAACTGTTGTACCAGTGACCATTCAGGGAATGCGCTTAAAACCACTCCCGATTCTCTCGGCCAATTCTGTGTTGCTGGTACGACTTATATACCAGTGCCCTATAAAGGATTAAACTCCGTCTGAACGAACGAACGAATGAACAAGCGATATAGCTACAAAGTTGTATTATTTGAAGAAGTAAATATTTTAATATTCTTTTTTGAAGAAAAGAGAACATCTACGATTCTTCCTCCCAGTCACGAAACTATTAAGTTCTAAATTATTTGTAGTGAGAACAGCGACCAAACCATTTTCCCCTGTATCACACACCACTTCGCATCACACACCTATGCATTTTTGCTAAATTATCGCCAGCATTAGCATTAGTCGATACACACATTCATTCACTCATATACTCATTCATACTCACACATAATTCTCCCTCACACACACAATACGCGAAATCCGACTAGCAATCTCACTATAGTGTGCATCGGATAATACTAAAGCTAGAACACACAATTTCAAGCATTCTGATATGTATGTTGATCGGTAGCTCAGTTCACTGCATAGATCTTTCAATGCACGATAGCGATTCATGCAGTCAATTGAACATGCCAATCAGCATGCATGTGAGAAGATATGAAATCGTGCATCGTAATTCGTCAGCTTTATGCTGACGTTAATTTAACATAAGAATACATAAGTAACTTTGATATGCTGCAATTCCACGAAAAAAAAATCGTACAAACTCCTTTTTGCAGAGAAAAGTCTATACTTTGTGATAGTTATGATTAGTTCTGCGAAAAGAATTTTTTCTACTCCGTAAAGTGCATCAAATTATACAATTTTTTGGAGACGTACTTGGAAACTTTACTTTTAAAAAGACGGCGAGAAAGGAAGATGATAAATTTAAAATCTAACAAATATTCCTTAGAGTACAGACTTTATTCTTCAAAATGAGAAAAACAAAGAGAAAAACAATTTTGATATATTTTAATTTGGCGTGAAGTTATGCTTTCATTTAAAATTATGCAAAATTTCGACATGAATTCATTTATACGATAATTGTGTTGATGAGTGTATGCCGTGCTCATCGTGCGGAACATGATTTTCGTTTTAATGACAAGGTAATTTTGACGCGTGACAAATAGCGGTCACCAGCGGCAACAATTGCGGTTTCAGCTGTTAAAGCCATGAATGTGTTATCCGCCAGGTAATATGAACGAAAACAAATGTTCGACATGCAACTGTCGAGTTCTCGTGATTTGGACATGTAACGCACATAAAATTCCAAATATAATGGTCAGCAAATCGAATTACAGGCATATCGAAACATCGATCTCGATGTTTCCTCATGTTCTCTCTCTGTTTAACTATAATCACTCAAAAAAAACAAAATATACA